TTAAAGAAGGGTATAGTCTTACTCATCCATCTCTTGAAAATGGAGTTGTTATATAAGAATATTAGCTGACTGGATAGCTCAATGTATTAGGTATCTGGCTGTGGAGCCAGAGGTTGGGATTTTGATTGCCCACTGTTTATCCCAGAAGAGTCAGATTGTGTATCTGGGCAGGCTGCACAGTCTCACCATGCAGCCAGAAGAAGGGAATGGTAAGCAACATCTTTTTACTCTCTACCTGGAAAACCCTGGAGAGGGTTGCCATAAATCATAATTGATTTGACAGCATGATTGATAAGAATATTACTTACCAATATTACAATTTGTTTTTAAAACCTTTCATTGTTTTGCAGTCTTTTCCCCTTTTTTTATCAGAGCAGAGAGTAAAAGAATTATAGAAATTTATTGGTGTTAGTGTGTGCTATGCAGTTTGTTTAACTGAAGCCCAAAGGTCCTTCTTTTTTTCATGAAAAGCCAGTCACAACATGGGGAAATTTATTGGAGTTAGTGTGTGCTATGCAAAAGCCCTTCTTTTTTCATGAAAAGCCAGTCACAACATGGAGCAGAGAAAGGGATAAGCATATGTTCCCCTCCCATATATCTGATGCAAGGTGCTACTTCTTGAGCTGCTTTTGCATAAAATGGTACATGGGTTTGGATGTAATGCAAAGTTCAACTCTGAGATAGATACGACAGGCAGATAGAATGTCCTTTCTAAATTAACATGTTAGAAAGGTTTCAAATAATAATGTAAATAAATCAGTAACACATAAATGCAGCAGTTTTTACATTCCCTTGCTGTTGGCCTCAGATGCCTTTGTATTTGACCACATACAGCGGTGCCTCGCTTAACGAGGATAATCTGTTCCAGCGAAATCGCTGTAGAGCGAAATCCTCGTTAAGTGAAAATAAAAAGCCCATTGAAATGCATTAAAATCCGGTTAATGCGTTCCAATGGGCTGAAAACTCACCGTCCAGCGAAGATCCTCCATAGGGGCTGCCATTTTCGCTGCCTGTAAAGCAAGGAATCCGTCCAAAAACACAGCGGGGAACCATTTTACACAGCAGGCGGCCATTTTGAAGCCGCTGATCAGCTATTTTAAAATCATGGTAATGCGAAGAATCAGTTCCCGAAGCAGGGAACCAATCATCGCAAAGTGAATTTTTCCTATTAGAACATTGTTTTGAGATCGCAAAAGCGATCGCAAAAGTTCATCATATAGCAGTTTTGTCATTTAACGAAGCAATCGTTAAGCGAGCCACCATTGTACCCACTTTACTCCCTGCAAATGAGTGTGACACAGGCATGAAGCACATGTTGCTTTGTGTGCAAAGCAACTGGAAAACAAAGGTTGCTGCATCTAAATGTAGTGATTAGGAATGTTTGTCTCCGTGTCTTTGTTGTAAGATAAATTTTGAGACTGTTGTTTTTGTTTAGTCGTTAAGTCATGTCCGACTCTTTGTGACCCCATGGACCAGAGCATGCCACGCCCTCCTGTCTTCCCCTGCCTCCCAGAATTGGGTCAAATTCATGTTGACCATCTCATCCTCTGTCGTCTCCTTCTCTTGCCTTCACACTTTCCCAACATCAGGGCCTTTAAATCTAAATTCCTTTTTGGTTAGAAGAGGACTCTTGAGCCAGAAACAGTTCAAGAGTCTTTGCTCTAGAAGAACTACTGCAATGTGTGGCTGAGCCTGTTAGTGTAGAGTCTCCTGTTCAAATGGCACCTCAGCTTATGCATTGAGCGATCAAAATACCCATCGTCATTTTCAGTCAGGCAGTACTTATGCTGGATTGTTGGACAAAGCTTTGGTAGGAATTGTTGAGAAGAGTGCATGAGTCTTTATATCAGGTATTCTCATTTATAACAAAGCACTCTTGTTCGCCCATCTTGTCTCAGAGGCTTGGAGCATCCAAGTATCATCCATTAATCTTTTCTTATTCTAAATCCTAAAGAATAGCTGTACAAATTCCCCAACTGATTGATTATTTTACTGCTAGAGTAGTTCTAAATTATATTGAGCCATGAAGAGATAGTAGAGCCTATTTCAAATAAACCCCTTATTTTATTGCTGCATCTCATGAGCATAGAATTTGAGGCATTTGAAGTAGGGAGGATTTGAGTACAAATAGATGCTGGTGTTCCTTTTCATGTACGTATGTAGGAATGGAAATGCTATGAAATATATTTATCTTTAACAATACTAACACAGAAAGAGTTGAAATCATATTCTGCCCACACTGTTATGTTTTCCAGAAATAATGGTATTCATACATCGTATTTACAAATTATCTTTAGCTGTAGCAATGTTCTACATTAATTTCTTACTGTACATTTCTGTTAAGAGCAATTACAGTGAATTTATGCACTAATTTGCAGCGTCAGTTTGGACTAAATCACTCAAAAGACACTGTTAGCCATGGCTAACTGTTAGCCATGGCTGTTAGCCATGGCTACGCAAAACCCTTATAGAGTTGCTTCAGTTTTGTTCTTGGGTATCTAATCCAAGATGATTTAAGTTGAGTCTCTCTTGTGCCAATGGTGTATCATTTATATTGGGAGGTAACATGACATCTCTAGCACCCTGAAATTAGTATGTAGCATGAAATTGCCGTGTTATTTCAAAAACACCACATTGATACAATCCATTGGGGCATTTCCTGAGGTCTTGTAACATCATGGCTGAAAAATTAATACAAATCATTGCTTGTATCATTTCCTCCAAGATAAATGTGTTGCTCAAAATAGAAAATCGTCAAAAATATCAACACAGCCTTATCTATGCTGAAATAAATAGCTTACTTTTCTACCCGTGAATCTTTTCAGATGGTTTTAAAAAAGCATTAGAAGAACATCAAATCATATTAAAATATTCATACTTACAGTATATTGATATATTTCACTAAAGTGCATTTTACTGATCTCACTTAACAAATTACACAACATCTGAAGTGAAACCAATGAAGACAGGTCAGATCTTTGCAGGAAAAAAACCTCACAAGAGACATATTTGTAAAACATAACCCCACAGTACAATGAAGCTGCTCAAACCTGGTTGTTTTAATGTGTAGAGTGGGAGGTCTCTTAGGGTAATTCCAAATAATATCTAGCCATTGAGGGTGTCAAAGCTGAAATCAAGATTTTGAATTTAGCCCAGAAGCTAAAGTATAATCATAGAGGGTATAATCAATCTAGACTGTACAGGATAACTATTATATGTGATCTACACATGACTTGTGATTAGTCCTATTTAGGAGTTATGCAGCAGTAATTGAGATCAGTTGTATTTTCTGAATTGTCTTCAGGGGCATGAAATGTTTTGTACTAGTCAGGTTCAGACTTTAACCAAGCCATATAAACAGTGGCCAAGTTGCCTGCTTCCACAAAAGAGGTGCAGTTAAAAGATGGTATTCCTGGTCATCTCAATATCTAAGAGCAATGCCGGATCCAGGAGCACTTTCAAGCTGTGAGCTTTCTCTTCTGAGTCTAATGTGATTCTATCGACAAGAGGCATGTCCCCTATATACAAGTATGCCCCATATCAGCATGAACAATTGTTAGTCCTAATTAATATAGATCCACTTATTGTAATTGTGTGGTATCAAGTCAGTCCTAACTTATGGTGACTCTTTTCAGAGTTTTCTAGGTAGAGAGTACAGTATTCAGAAGTGGCCCTTATTCTGGGAGCATCTTGGGACTGTGTATCCTCCCCATGACCACACCGTCTGGCTCTTCCAGGATTCCCAGTGGGGAACTGAACTCCCAAACCTCTGTCTTTGCAGCCAAATACTGTACCTACTGTAACTCACTGAGCTATCCAGCCAGCAGATCCACTGTATCAATCGCTAAATAGTAAGTCAGTACTACCACTGGCAGGCAAGGCTTATATGGTCTCCTTTGGTATTTATTGTGCTCACATAATGAATGTCTCCCTAGGGCTATAATTTTATGTAGATTTTGAACAACACAAAATTGAATCCTCTAGAATGCTGATTCCCAACCTTAAGTCTCCAGATATACTTAGACTACAACTCCTAGAAATTCTGGCCAGCACAGCCAGGAACCACTGCTCTAGAATAATTCCCATGGGAAGTACCATCTTATAGAACCGTCTCGTAACTGCCAGTCCACAGTCTAGAAAGATACTACAGCTGATAGTATCAAAAGATCAAATCTCTAGTTCTGGAAACAAGTGTTCTAGAAATTGGTATAAATAAGCTAAGCATTTCTACTTTTCCTCCATCTGTGAAAGGAGAATAAAAATGGATAGAACATCTAATTTCACTTTCAAATTCCTGAGTGTAAACAAGTTGCACCAAAGATTGCAGACTTTTTCATCTTGCGTTATTCCTGCTATTCCAGAAGCATGCAACTGGCATTTTGTCTTTGGATTTACAAAAACTCTGGATCTTCAGATTCTGAATTATTTAAGCTCCCACAACACATGCACTTTTGCTTTTCAAGCATGAGTTATAATTTAATTAAAAACTTCTGGTGCATCACTAGCTATTAAAATATTTAAATGTTCCATGGATCACTTTCGATTATCTACTCACATGAAATTCCTGAAGATGTCAGATTTTTAAGATTCCCAAAGTTACACTTGGAATTGTCTGTTGATGCAAAGGGGACTGTGATAATTACATACATCCATTAGTATCAGCAGAGGAGATAAACTTTGGGGAGGCTTAATGGGCATGTCTCAGTGACAGCTAGCAAAGAACATTTGGCATGATTAAGGACAGATTTGAATGTACTTGAAAATATACTCTCATTATGGACACCCAGTGGAAGTTGCACTACAAATGTTAAATTCCCCAGAAGAAGAGTTATGTGGCAGGGAAGCTTTGAAATCCACTGTGGCCGTCATCCAAATTATTTTCTTCTCTTTATGTCTTTCCGCTGTCAGATTCATTTTGTGATGCCCAGCTTGGCTCCCTGTGTGTGTTGAAAAGAGGCAACCTGTTGATTTCCTTTTTTTTTTTCCTCCTTGTGTTTCAGATTGTTCGAAGATACATCAAAGAATGGCTTGAGAGAAAGAAGCCTCCATTTGGTACTATCAGCAGCTGCGTGCTCTTGATGATTATCTATACAACCTTCTGTGATACTTTTTCCAATCCTAATATTGACCTTGATAAGTTTAGCCTGATTATTATAGTTTTCATAAGTAAGTACCAGTTTCACATTGTAGTTCAATTTAACAGCTAAGATTTCATTCAAAGGAGCTTTATTTTCTTGCCTAGTGAGTTAGGACCCACAGTGTTTTTTCACTGAGCTTCTTTGTCTTCTTGCCACAGTCTTACATGCTATGAATAGTGGTTCTTTAGCAGTGCAGCAGTTGGGTCTTTGATTGCATTTTGGTGACCTGGAGCAATTAACGTGTGTTTATTTTCCACCAAAAGAAAATGAGCCTCAATACAATGATAGTAGAATGGAGTCATTTACTATATGTTCCTATTTGGAAAACATGTATTCCTTGAAGTGCTCAACAACAATGAGCTAAATTCTCAACTAACTTGGAATGAATGGGACTTGGGACTCTTGATATTTGGGTTTAGTAGATGGATTTAACCCATAATTCCCTGTATGTGTGTGTGTGTGTGTGTGTGTGTGTTGGGGGGGGGAGGCAGCATTTTGCCCTAGCTGCCAGCAACAACCCCACTGAGACTTATATTAGCATATGTTTTGTGATCATTGAGCATTCTTCTTTTCTTTAGATGACACAAAAAGCCACCAAATTGAAATCGCAATTGCAATAGCCTTATAGCTTTAAAAGAATTATGCTACTTTTTTTAAAAAAAATGACCCCCCATCGTTGCTTCCCAGATTTAATATAGAACTCCTTGATAAGAGGAACTGAGAGATACAAATAGAGGGAGAATTCTAAACTATATTCTGTATATGAGGCATGTATTGGAAAATCCTAGTGTAACCTCAATTCCAAGAATGTGCAGTTACTGATGTGGTAAGTGCCAGGTATAATTAATACAGTCTGGTGAGACTTTAATAGAAAGCAAGGAGAAGCAAAGCTCAATATGATATGCTTCTAAACATAAGCCTTAAAATAGCATCTAATAAACACAGGCAATGTAAATTTTATAATTTAAAGGTCTTAACCACTGTATGCACCAGTTGGGCAGTGAATTATTTGTGGGATGTGTTTAGCTAGAGTTGCATATGAAGAAATTTACTATTAATAGCTTAGTGCTCAACAATGAAAAGGTTAAAGAGCCTGTCTAAGACATGTGGTATTGAAATACTTGCAAAATAGGTTTTAAAGGGGATTGGTGATTTTTTGGTTAATTTTTGGTGATAGCTATGGGAATGAAAGGCACTGTAGTTTTTGACGGCTCAACATCAGACCCCTTTGACATCCAAAGCGGAGTGAAACAGGGCTGTGTCCTCGCACCAACACTTTTTGGGATCTTTTTTGCTGTCATGCTGAAGCATGCCTTTGGAGCTGCAACCGAGGGCGTCTATCTCCGGACTAGATCAGATGGAAAGCTCTTTAATCTCTCTAGATTGAGAGCGAAGACCAAAGTCCAACTGAAATGCATGCGGG